TTTAGAGATGTGCTCTTGTCAGGGTTTCACTTATCTACGATTTGGAACTGGATGGAGATATTTTTTAAGGAATTCTTGTTGTTGAAATGTAACCTTGCTATTCTGTAGGCTCACTCTGTAATAAGAAAATAAAAATTAATGGCAAGCATCGAAGGCCATTCCTTCTGGCGGGAGAGGAAGGGACGAGCCAAGGCGGCGGGTTGGGATCTCTGTACATGACACTACCCTGTAGTTTGGTCTTTGTTTTTCTCCAGCTCCCATTTCTGCTCCATGTATATCATATTCTGTAAAATATTCTCTCCCTTGGATTTGACCTTTGTGCGGATTATTGAAAGCATTGTATCTTGTTTCAGTGTTTTTTCTTACCTTGTAGTCTGGTTCGAAAATTACCGAGAGGGGAAAAAAAAAAAGTAATTATTATACATTGTAGTTTGTGTACGATATTTGTTGATAATGTTTTATTAAAGGGATGTCTTTTTTCCGCACCCCTTCATTGAAATGTTTTTGGGGAACATTTGGCTTGTTTTTATTATTCTGACTGCAAGACATGAGATGACAAAACCTTTTTTTTAGTGTGTAATACGATTTTTTTTTTTTAAATGTTTGCCTTCTTTTTCCTAGGCATTTTAATTGTGCTTTACCTGTAGAAAGTTGCTGGGGAGGGAGGGGTGGGTGGGATGGGGAGGTCTGAGGGTGTCAGTCTCATAGTTAAAGTCAGGTTAATATTTTCCAAGTAACGCTGAGAAATAACCGAACGCAGATTTGTTGCATTGCAAATATACTCGGGGGCTCCCCGAGGGGTCAACTTTTTTCCTTTTCTACTTCCCATCTTGTTTGTTTTTTCCTTTTTTTTTTTTTTGTTCTGATGTGAGGAAATGAAAGGACCGGTTTTAATGTATTTTAAAATGAATAGCTAAATTATTGTCTTCATTGGTATGGGATGGTTTTTTTGAATGAAATGGTTCTCCCCCCTTCTCCCCCCTCCCCATGCTGTAATAAATATGAACATAAACATTTGATTTCGGTGCTCTGCGGTTTGTTCCTGGTGTTTGCTGCCAGACCTGGGGGGGGTGGATGGATTTTTTTCGACCTTTTATTTATCGAGGACCAAATCCTGGCTTTGGTGTGCAGGAGCAGAGGTGATGCAGAGCTGAGAGGTGGCCGACGCTGGGGGTTCTGGCTGAGGCTGGGATGGTGGACAGGGATTTGGTTGGGGTGCAGGACCCAGGGGGGCTGGGAGAGGTTTGGTTTAATGATGCTCTTAGGGGGGTTTTTTTGTTAAGCATTTTGAAAATTCAACTCAGCCTAGGAAAATGATCATTCTTGTCTGCACGGGGCTGGAGATGTGATGTGCTGTGCAGGATCCTCGCCCTCTCTGCCCCCAGCCTGCCTGGCTACAGGCAGAGGGGGGCTTTCTGGAGCTAAAAAGGGTGGTGGTGGTGGTTTTTTGCACCTTGTCCCCCAGGGTTTCCCCATTAGAGGCCGGAGGAGTTGGGATGCCAGTGTGGCGATGCAGGATGGCATCCCATGCAGCAGGTTACAGATCAGGGATGCACTGGGAGAGGAGCTGGGTCTTTCTACCGCCTGTTGCTGGAGTCCTGCACCGCTGGGAGGTAAGCAAGGGAGGGGAAGGGGTGCGAGCATCACCTTCAAAAAAATATACATATACACATATATAGGCTTGCAATGGCGTTTGCTAACCCGCTCCTCAGGCAAGGGCTGGCTGTGGTGCAGGGTGGGTGCATGCACCGTTGCAGGATCCACCTCAGCTCCTGGCTCTGAACTGGCTGCTGGAGATGGGAGAAACCCAGGTGAGGCTGACCTGGCTCCCTGACGGGCTGCATCAGAGGCTGCTGCAGCACTTGAGGAAATAATTGGGGCTTTTTAGGTCTTCAGATGGGTGGTTGCAAGCGCTGGGTGCCTGAAACGCTCCTGGGAGCTGCCGTCTGAGCCTTGTTGTCTGCCTTTGACTAGTTCAGGCAGGATATGGCTGGCTGCTGTTGTGAAGCTTCTCTCCCTCCTTGAGGGAACATTCAAGCGTGGGCTGTGGGCTCAGGGGGCTGCGAGCCATCCTGGAACGTTGCCAGTCCTGGGGGACGCTCCCACCCAGCACTGGCACCTACAGCCATGCCACTGCTGCAATTCCAGCAGCAAGAGCCATGCGGTCGCAGATGCTCATGGAGCAGAGGGGCGAGGGGGCGATGTGTTGGATGTCTGCTGGGTTTGGGAACCACCCAGAAAAATCATCATGCCTGCAGAGCATGTAATTAACGGTGAGTTCAAGGAGTGGTGTGCGTTCGCACCCTTTGCTACCTGTGCAGGTTTGCTTTCGGATTAACGTCACAGATGTCCTTGTGCGGAGTCTGCAGTCATGCCCCGATGCAGTTTTCAGTCCAGGCAATCACATCCCTCCGTGCTTTGCAGAAAGTAGCGTGTAAGTGTTGTCCATCATTTGGAAACGTGACCCCCAAGGGTAATTAGCTGATGCTAATGAGGACCTCCTGCCTCCCTGGGGCCATCCCTGCCCATGCTGCCCAGCCAAGCACCGCTCAGCTGCCTGGAGCAACGGGCAGCATTGCTGCCTGTTGTGTTTATTACAGGCTGTAGAAAAGCCCTTCCCATTGGTTCTTACTGGGTTACAGGCTAATTTTATTAAACACCACCATGAGAAACTGCCAAGTTCCCTCCTCTAAACATCTCCTGAGCCCAACCTTAGGGATAATTGTCTTCCACACTAGTTTTCATTAAATTAAATGCGGGAGGAGGATCTGAACAACCAGGGGCTCTGGTCTGAGCACTGTGTGTACTTGCTGGCATGACGAGCGCAGCCCATGGAGTCGGATTGTGCACCAGGAGCGGCTCAGGGGCAGGTAGTGTGGAGTGGTGGAGCCAGGACAGTGCAGCATGCCTCATCCCCACGGCGGGCTGGGGGCTGCAGAGCTCTCCTCCGGGCAGTCAGGCACCGCCAGGTCTTCATCTCGGACTCCAGCTGCCCTGTTCTTGTATGTTCTGCTTCCCCCAGCTGCTGTTCATTAAAAGTTAATGCCTGGTTCTTGGTCCATGCTGAGGTAATGCCATTCATCTGCTGACAAGCCTTTATAATTTATTGATGCCAACCCAGATGTGCCTCTGTGACCCATTGTCCTGCTCTTGGCCCCACCTCCCTCAGCTGGGCTAATTCCAGCAGGTCACACCAGAGGAACGAGCAGGTGAACCACGTGTAGTGTGCTTGGGAAGACCAGCGGGACACCACGCACGTGTGCACGGCTGTCCGTGCTAAGGGGGCTGCTCTGCAGGGGCTGCCTGGTTCACGGACCTCATACCTGCACGACAAACCAACCCCAGCATCTGTCCCCCGTGCCAAGCTGGGAGCCTGCTCTGCCCCCCTCGAGTTCCCCTCCTGGACCTCAGAGTTGCTTACCCAGCATGAGGATCAGCTGCTCCTTCCAGCACCATGTGAACACTGCTTTCCCCATCACCACAGGTGAGATCAGCTGTGCCCTGAGCAAACCAGGGACACGGTCTTGCGTGCTTGTGTATGGTCCCCTCATCTCAAGTGGCTTCCTGATGCCTCTTGTAACATGCTGAAGCCTCCTTCATTCCCCTGCTGACTATCCCATGTCTTATTGCTTCTGCCGTTTTTCAAAATTGCCTTTGCTCTGCCTTCATCCATCTCTCCCTGTGCTCACGCTTTGTCTCTGCTCAGTCTTGGGAGACAACAGGACTCCAGCTTCACTTAGTTTCTCCTCTTCTACTGCCTGTCCTAACAGAGATGTCTTTGCTGAGAGGTAAAAGCATCTAAAGGGGCTTTGGCTCTTTCCCACGTAGACCATCGTCACAGATTCCCACATCTACCGGAAGCATGCGAGGCGTTTCATTTCTCCGCACCCCCTCTCCACCACAGCCGCTCTCCTACCACGCTGCCTTAGTGAAACCGCTCTGCTCAGGAACACTAACCTAGCGGCTGGCTGCCCTGCACGGTTTCCACCCTAAGACAGGTAACACCCGAAGCTGGAAGGCTGAGGGAATGTCAATAGTCCAAGGGCTGTTGCCTAGAGCTGTTCAGCACGGTCCGTGTGACATAGCAGAGAGCCAACAGCCTGAGAAAGAAACACCTACCAAACAGCCTTCACAGAGCACGAGTGTATTAAAATATATTCCTAAATAACAGGGTGCAAATTACAGATCTGAGCAGATTTAAATTGATGAGGTGAATTAGGCATCCCTGGAACAGGCAGAATTAACTTGAATTAAATCAATGCAATGCTTACTAGATTATTTCTCTTTCACACATTTTCTCCTAACTATTGAGGGATTTGTTAATTTAACTTGCAGCCGATGCATCCCAGTTTACTGGTGCAACTGTTGATCTCAAATTTGACTAGCGAAAGTCTGTTTTCTGAAACCTGCAGAGCAGAGCTGTCTGATGGATTGAGACTGCAACACACAACTGGGGTGTTCATCCAGACGGCCAGAGAAGATCACCAAGCACAGACCAGTCTCTCACACAAGACACTGAAGTGAGACTAATTTCTTGGAAATATGCTCTTCCACACCTTAAAATAGCGCAGGCTGTCCTACTCCTTCCCATGTGCTGGAGGGTATCAGCGCAGAACTGCAAAACATTCTACATTTGGCTGGAGCTAATTTAGCCTTCATTTTACAAAAACCACACTAATCCCCCATCTTAAAAAGAATACGTTTCCTGCTCAGTTAACTCTGTGTGGCAGGAAGAAATTCTTCCTTTGTGTTTTTAGCGGCAAATACCAGCTACCAGGCACCAAAGTTTCACGCTAC